GCCTGGCAAACCTGAGAACAGCATTCCGACACCTTAGTAAGGAATCATTCAAGACACTGTACACCGTGTATGTCAGGCCCATACTGGAGTATGCAGCACCTGTTTGGAACCCGCACTTGATAAAGCACGTCAAGAAACTAGAGAAAGTACAAAGGTTTGCGACAAGGTTAGTTCCAGAGCTAAGGGGATTCCTATGAAGAAAGATTAAGGGAAATCGGCCTGACGACACTGGAGGACAGGAGGGTCAGGGAGACATGATAACGACATATAAAATACTGCGTGGAATAGACAAGGTGGACAAAGACAGGATGTTCCAGGGAGGGGACACAGAAACAAGAGGCCACAATTGGAAGTTGAAGACACAAATGAGTCAGAGAGATAGTAGGAAGTATTTCTTCAGTCATAGAGTTGTAAGGCAGTGGAATAGCCTAGAAAATGACGTAGTGGAGGCAGGAACCATACACAGTTTTAAGACGAGGTTTGATAAAGCTCATGGAGCGGGGAGAGAGAGGGCCTAGTAGCAACCGGTGAAGAGGCGGGGCCAGGAGCTAGGACTCGACCCCTGCAACCACAAATAGGTGAGTACAAATAGGTGAGTACTCACATACACTCACCTACACTCATGCACTCACCTACACTCATCTGCACTCACATACACTCATCTCCACTCACCTACACTCACCTACACTCACCTACACTAATCTACTCTCATCTACACTTACATACACTCACCTACACTCAACCTACACTCACACTCACCTACACTCACCTATACTCACTACACTCACCTACACTCACCTACACTCACCTACATTTCAACTACACTCACATACACTCACATACACTAATCTACTCTCATCTACACTTACATACACTCACCTACACTCACCTACACTCACACTCACCTGCACTCACCTACACTCACCTACACTCACCTACATTCAACTACACTCACATACACTCACATACACTCACCTGCACTCACCTACACTCACCTACACTCATCTACACTCACATTCACCTGCACTCACCTACACTCACCTACACTCACATACAACTCACCTTCACTCACCTACACTCACCTACACTCACCTTCACTCACCTACACTCACATACACTCACCTACACTCCCCTACACTCACATACACTCACCTACAATCACCTACACTAACATACACTCACCTACACTCACCTACACTCACTTGCACTTACCTACACTCACCTACACTCACCTTCACTCACCTACACTCACCTACACTCACCTACACTCACCTACACTCACCTACACTCACCTGCACTCATCTTTACTCACACTCACATACACTCACCTACACTCACCTACACTCACCTACACTCAGCTGCACTCACGTACACTCACCTACACTCACCTACACTCACATACACTAACCTGCATCACCTACACTCACCTACGCTCACCTACACTCACATACATTCACCTTCATTCACCTACACTCACCTATACTAACATACACTCACCTACACTCACCTACCCTTACATACACTCACCTACACTCACATACACTCACTACACTCACATACACACACCTACACTCACACTCACCTACACTCATTACACTCACATACATCAACCTACACTCACCTAACACTCACCTACACTCATCTACACTACCTGCATTCACCTACCTCACCTACGTACATCTACACACAACCTGCACTCACCTACACTCACCTACACTCACCCACACTCACCTACACTTACATACATTCACCTACACTCATACACTCACCTACACTCACCTACATTCACCTACACTCACATACCCTCACATACACTCACATACACTCACCTACACTCACCTACACTCACCTACACTCACCTGCACTCACACTCACCTCAACACACAACACAAGGGGTCGTCCTCAACACACAACACAAGGGATCGTCCTCAACACACAAGGGGTCGTCCTCAACACACATCACAAGGGGTCGTCCTTAACACACAACACAAGGGGTCCTCCTCAACACACACAAGGGATCGTCCTCAACACACAACATAAGGGGTCGTCCTCAACACACAACACAAGGGGTCGTCCTCAACACACAACACAAGGGATCGTCCTCAACACACAACACAAGGGGTCGTCCTCAACACACAACACAAGGGGTCGTCTTCAACACACAACAAAAGGGGTCGTCCTCAACATACAACACAATGGGTCGTCCTCAACACACAACACAAGGGGTCGTCTTCAACACACAACACAAGGGGTCGTCCTCAACATACAACACAAGGGGTCGTCCTCAACATACAACACAAGGGGTCGTCCTCAACATACAACACAAGAGGTCGTCCTCAACCCACAACACAAGGGGTCGTCCTCAACCCACAACACAAGGGGTCGTCCTCAACCCACAACACAAGGGGTCGTCCTCAACCCACAACACAAGGGGTCGTCCTCAACACACAACACAAGGGGTCGTCCTCAACACACAACACAAGGGGTCGTCCTCAACATACAACACAAGGGGTCGTCCTCAACATACAACACAAGGGGTCGTCCTCAACACACAACAAAGGGGTCGTCCTCAACATACAACACAAGGGGTCGTCCTCAACACACAACAAAGGGGTCGTCCTCAACACACAACACAAGGGGTCGTCCTCAACACACAACAAAGGGGTCGTCCTCAACACACAACACAAGGGGTCGTCCTCAACACACAACAAAGGGTCGTACCTCAACACACAACACAAGGGGTCGTCCTCAACACACAACACAAGGGGTCGTCTTCAACACACAACAAAAGGGGTCGTCCTCAACATACAACACAATGGTCGTCCTCAACACACAACACAAGGGGTCGTCTTCAACACACAACACAAGGGGTCTCCTCAACATACAACAACAAGGGGTCGTCCTCAACATACAACACAAGGGGTCGTCCTCAACATACAACACAAGAGGTCGTCCTCAACCCACAACACAAGGGGTCGTCCTCAACCCACAACACAAGGGTCGTCCTCAACCCACAACACAAGGGTCGTCCTCAACCCACAACACAAGGGGTCGTTCCTCAACACACAACACAAGGGTCGTCCTCAACACACAACACAAGGGTCGTCCTCAACATACAACACAAGGGGTCGTCCTCAACATACAACACAAGGGGTCGTCCTCAACACACAACAAAGGGGTCGTCCTCAACATACAACACAAGGGGTCGTCCTCAACACACAACAAAGGGGTCGTCCTCAACACACAACACAAGGGGTCGTCCTCAACACACAACACAAGGGGTCGTCCTCAACACACAACACAAGGGGTCGTCCTCAACACACAACACAAGGGGTCGTCCTCAACACACAACACAAGGGTCGTCCTCAACACACAACACAAGGGGTCGTCCTCAACACACAACACAAGGGGTCGTCCTCAACACACAACACAAGGGGTCGTCCTCAACACACACACACAATGGGTCGTCCTCAACACACAACACAAGGGGTCGTCCTCAACACACAACACAAGGGGTCGTCCTCAACATACAACACAAGGGGTCGTCCTCAACACACAACACAAGGGGTCGTCCTCAACACAACACAAGGGGTCGTCCTCAACACACAACAAAGGGGTCGTTTTCAACACACAACACAAGGGGTCGTCCTCAACACACAACACAAGGGGTCGTCCTCAACACACAACACAAGGGGTCGTCCTCAACATACAACACAAGGGGTCGTCCTCAACACACAACAAAGGGGTCGTCCTCAACATACAACACAAGGGGTCGTCCTCAACACACAACAAAGGGGTCGTCCTCAACACACAACACAAGGGGTCGTCCTCAACACACAACACAAGGGGTCGTCCTCAACACACAACACAAGGGGTCGTCCTCAACACACAACACAAGGGGTCGTCCTCAACACACAACAAAGGGGTCGTTTTCAACACACAACACAAGGGGTCGTCCTCAACATACAACACAAGGGGTCGTCCTCAACACACAACACAAGGGGTCGTCCTCAACACACAACACAAGGGGTCGTCCTCAACACACAACACAAGGGGTCGTCCTCAACACACAACAAAGGGGAACTAGACAAAGACAAGACGGAAACCAGAAAAATAACCAGAATTAATATAATTTATATTATATGCAAGAGAGAGAGACCTCTCCTCTCTCTCTCTATCTCTAGCTCTCTCTCTCTATCTCTAGCTCTCTCTCTGTCTCTAGCTCTCTCTATCTCTAGCTCTCTCTATCTCTAGCTCTCTCTCTGTCTCTCAGCTCTCTCTATCTCTAGCTCTCTCTATCTATAGCTCTCTCTAGCTCTCTCTCTATCTCTCTCTCTCTATCTCTAGCTCTCTCTATCTCTAGCTCTCTCTCTCTAGCTCTCTCTCTATCTCCTCTCTCTATCTCTAGCTCTCTCTCTATCTCTAGCTCTCTCTCTATCTCTAGCTCTCTCTCTATCTCTAGCTCTCTCTCTATCTCTAGCTCTCTCTATCTCTAGCTCTCTCTCTCTCTCTCTCTAGCTCTCTCTCTCTCTAGCTCTCTCTATCTCTAGCTCTCTCTCTCTATTGACTTAAACATAACCTAGAGTCCAGATATACATACAAGACTGTTATCTGCAGTGATATCTGCCACTATCTATATCAGCACGTCATCAGCTTGCAAGCTCCTGATGACGTGCTGATTCCAAGACGAAAGGCCTGGAGCTATCATTCAACTCCCCCTGGAGGATACCCTGGGAAAGGGATAGTGTCGCTTTAGTTGGGAATGAGGTAGGATACAGGAGGTTATCCATGGGAAATACACTTGGTATCCCTCCAATTATTATTATTATTATTATTATTATTATTATTATTATTATTATTATTATTATTATTATTATTATTATTATTATTATTATTATTATCATAGGTTTACAGAAATAAACTATTTAACAAATCATATTTTTATTTATTCAACATTTACAAACATTATTGAAAACTGATTGTAAACACAGGGGCCAGGAGCTGCAACTCGATCCCCTGCAACCACAAACATATGGTACTAGCGCAGCTGGAGCAGCACCAGCAGGTGGAGGAGACAGCTGGTCAGTAGACAGAGCCAGCAAGGCAGGCAGTGAACCAGCTGGTGCAGCTGGTGGCATCCTGGGCCACAGCTGGAGGTGGTGGCTCCATCTGTAACGTCAGAATAACACCTGTTATCCACCTATCATATGTGTGTATAATGTTCACAGATGTTTGTAATATGTGGGATATGTAACATATGTAATATGTGAGTAATATGCACACACGTGTTGACATATGTAAAATAACACATATGATAACTTGCATAAGGAAATACATGTGATACATGTCATGTATGGCTATTATAATAACTAAGGTTAATGGTTACACATACACGGGGGCCAGGAACTGTGACTCGACCCCTGCAATCACAACTAGGTGAGTATATGTCAAGAAATTAGAGAAAGTGCAAAGGTTTGCAACGAGACTAGTCCCGGAGTTAAGGGAAATTGTCCAACGAGGAGAGGGTAAGGGAACTCAACTTGACGACACTGGAAGACAGGAGAGGCATAATAACGACATATAAAATACTGAGAGGAATTGACAAGGTGGACAGTGACAGGATATTCCAGAGATGGGACACAACAACAAGGGGACACAGCAACAAGGGGACATAGCAACAAGGGGACACAGCAACAAGGGGACACAGCAATAAGGGACATAGCAACAAGGGGGCACAGCAACAAGGGGACACAACAACAAGAGGACACAGCAACAAGGGACACAACAACAAGGGGACACAGCAACAAGGGGACACAGCAACAAGGGGACATAGCAACAAGGGGGCACAGCAACAAGGGGACACAACAACAAGGGGACACAGCAACAAGGGGACACAGCAACAAGGGGACACAACAACAAGGGGACACAGCAACAAGGGGACATAGGAACAAGGGGACACAGCAACGAGGGGACACAGCAACGAGGGACACAGCAACAATGGGACACAGCAACAAGGGGACACAGCAACAAGGGGACACAACAACAAGGGGACACAACAACAAGGGGACACAACAACAAGGGGACATAGGAACAAGGGGACACAGCAACAAGGGGACACAGCAACAAGGGGACACAACAACAAGAGGACACAGCAACAAGGGGACACAACAACAAGAGGACACAACAACAAGGGGACACAGCAACAAGGGGACATAGGAACAAGGGACACAGCAACGAGGGGACACAGCAAACAAGGGGACACAGCAACAAGGGGACACAGCAACAAGGGGACACAACAACAAGGGGACACAACAACAAGGGGACACAGCAACAAGGCGACAAAGGAACAAGGGACACAGCAACAAGGGGACACAGCAACAAGAGGACGCAGCAACAGGGGACACAGCAACAAGGGACACAACAACAAGGGGACACAACAACAAGGGGACACAGCAACAAGGGGACATAGGAACAAGATGAAACAGCAACAGGGGACAAAGCAACAAGAGGACACAGAAACAAGGGGACACAACAACAAGGGGACACAGCAACAAGGGGACACAACAACAAGGTGACACAGCAACAAGGGGACACAACAACAAGGGGACACAGTAACAAGGGGACACAGCAACGAGGGGACACAGCAACAAGAGGACACAGCAACAAGAGGTTGCAGCAACAAGCGGACACAGTAACAAGGGGACACAGTAACAAGGGGACACAGTAACAAGAGGGCACAGTAACAAGGGGACACAGCAGCAAGGGGACACAGCAACAAGGGGTCTCAATTGGAAGTTGAAAACTCAAATGAGTCACAGGGATGTTAGGAAATATTTCTTCAGTCACAGAGTTGTCAGGAAGTGGAATAGTTTGGGAAGCGATGTAGTGGAGGCAGGATCCATACATAGCTTTAAGACGAGGTATGATAAAAGCTCATGGAGCAGGGAGAGAGTGACCTAGTAGCGACCAGCGAAGAGGCGGGGCCAGGAGCTATGAATCGACCCCTACAATCACAATTACGTGAGTACACTTACGTAGCAAGAATGACCTGAAAGAGGTCTTCGCGACCCCCTGGTCAACAAGATCCTTCTGGTCTACTGTCACTGAAGACCCAGGAGTGCTGGTAGTGGTGGTAGTAGTGGTAGTAGTTGTGGTAGTTGTGGTGGAACTGGTGGTGGTTGTCACCTCTGTAAGGTAATAATAATAACAATCATACATATACACGTGTGTATTAAGTATGTATATGGATAGGTCTACAAGACTGAGGACTGAATTAGATGAGTACAATTAGTTGAGTACACTCACAGACTGTACCTCCTAGTCACCAGTGAAGAGGCGGGTCCAGGTGCCATGACTCGACCCTTGCAACCACAACTAGGTGAGCACAATTAGGTGAGTAGCCAGAGGTCAGTTGCACTCACCTAGCAAGGTCAGGAGAGTGGACCTGGAGCCCAGGAGGTTACTGACTGTGCAGGTGTACAGTCCAAAGTCCTCAGTAGTGATGCTCTTGAAGACTAAGCTGGACCGTCCTGTACCATCCATGTCCCACTGGTCCAGCGAGCTCTCTGTTATGTGAAGATATGTTAGGTGAACCTCACCTGCTGCTAGGTGACTGCTATCAGTTAGGTGAGCCCGTGTACCCTTTGAGCATTCTGATAAGTTCCTGTGTACACCTTGGGTACAACCAGGGGTCTTGAAGACAACCAGGGGTCTTGAAGACAACCAGGTGACTTAAAGACAACCAGGTGTCTTGAAGACAACCAGGTGTCTTGAAGACAACCAGGGGTCTTGAAGACAACAAGGGGTCTTGAAGACAACCAGGTGACTTAAAGACAACCAGGTGTCTTGAAGACCCAAATAGGTTTTTCTTGAAGACAACCAGGGGCTTGAAGAAACCAGGGGTCTTGAAGACCAAACCCGGTGACTTAAAGACAACCAGGTGTCTTGAAGACAACCAGTGTCTTGAAGACAACCAGGGGTCTTGAAGGCAACCAGGGGTCTTGAAGACCACCAGGTGACTTGAAGACAACCAGGTGTCTTGAAGACAACCAGGTGTCCTGAAGACAACCAGGGGTCTTGAAGGCAACCAGGTGTCTTGAAGACAACAGGTGTCTTTAAAACAACCAGGGGTCTTGAAGGCAACCAGGGGTCTTGAAGACAACCAGGTGGGCTTGAAGACAACCAGGGACTTGAAGACAACCAGGTGACTTGAAGACAACCAGGTGTCTTGAAGACAACCAGGGGTCTTGAAGACAACCAGGGGTCTTGAAGACAACCAGGGATCTTGAAGGCAACCAGGGGTCTTGAAGACAACCAGGTGACTTGAAGACAACTAGGTGTCTTGAAGACAACCAGGTGTCTTTAAGACAACCATGGGGTCTTGAAGAAAAACCAGGGGTCTTGAAGACAACCAGGGGTCTTGAAGGGCAACCCGGTGTCTTGAAGACAACCAGATGTCTTGAAGACAACCAGGTGTCTTGAAGACAACCAGGTGTCTTGAAGACAACCAGGGGTCTTGAAGACAACCAGGTGAGTTGAAGACAACCAGGAGTCTTGAAGACAACCAGGAGTCTTGAAGACAACCGGGGGTCTTGAAGACAACCAGGTGAGTTGAAGACAACCAGGAGTCTTGAAGACAACCAGGGGTCTTGAAGACAACCAGGTGTCTTGAAGACAACCAGGGGCTGAAGGCAACCAGGGGGCTTGAAGACAACCAGGTGTCTTGAAGACAACCAGGAGTCTTGAAAGGCAACCAGGGGTCTTGAAGACAACCAGGTGACTTGAAGACAACCAGGGGTCTTGAAGACAACCAGGGGGCTTGAAGGCAACCAGGGGTCTTGAAGACAACCAGGTGTCTTGAAGACAACCAGGTGTCTTGAAGACAACCAGGGGTCTTGAAGACAACCAGGGGTCTTGAAGGCAACCCGGTGACTTGAAGAAAAACCAGGTGTCTTGAGCAAACCCGGTGTTTTGAAGAAAAACCAGGGGTCTTGAAGACAACCAGGGGTCTTGAAGACAACCAGGTTTTCTTGAAGACAAAACCCGGAGTCTTGAAACAACCAGGGGTCTCGAAGGCAACCAGGTGTCTTGAAGACAACCAGAGGTCTTGAAGACAACAGGTGTCTTGAAGACAACCAGGTGTCTTGAAGACAACCAGGGGTCTTGAAGACAACTAGGGGTCTTGAAGACAATCAGGTGTCTTGAAGACAACCAGGGGTCTTGAAGACAACCAGGGGTCTTGAAGACAACCAGGGGTCTTGAAGACAACCAGGGGTCTTGAAGACAACCAGGTGTCTTGAAGACAACCAGGTGTCGTGAAGACAACCAGGGGTCTTGAAGACAACCAGGTGAGTTGAAGACAACCAGGAGTCTTGAAGACAACCAGGGGTCTTGAAGACAACAAGGTGAGTTGAAGACAACCAGGTGTCTTGAAGACAACCAGGGGTCTTGAAGGCAACCAGGGGCCTTGAAGACAACCAGGTGTCTTTAAGACAACCGGTGTCTTGAAGACAACAGGGGTCTTGAAGGCAACCAGGGGTCTTAAAGACAACCAGGTGTCTTGAAGACAACCAGGAGTCTTGAAGGCAACCAGGGGTCTTGAAGACAACCAGGTGACTTGAAGACAACCAGGGGTCTTGAAGGCAACCAGGGGTCTTGAAGACAACCAGGTGTCTTGAAGACAACCAGATGTCTTGAAGACAACCAGGGGTCTTGAAGACAACCAGGGGTCTTGAAGGCAACCAGGGGTCTTGAAGACAACCAGGTGTCTTTAAGACAACCAGATGTCTTGAAGACAACCAGGGGTCTTGAAGACAACCAGGGGTCTTGAAGGCAACCAGGTGACTTGAAGACAACCAGGTGTCTTGAAGACAACCAGGTGTTTTGAAGACAACCAGGGGTCTTGAAGACAACCAGGGGTCTTGAAGACAACCAGGTGTCTTGAAGACAACCAGGAGTCTTGAAGACAACCAGGGGTCTCGAAGGCAACCAGGTGTCTTGAAGACAACCAGAGGTCTTGAAGACAACAGGTGTCTTTAAGAAAAACCAGGTGTCTTGAAGACAACCAGGGTCTTGAAGACAACCAGGTGTCTTGAAGACAACAAGGTGTCTTGAAGGGCAACCAGGGTCTTGAAGACAACCAGGGGTCTTGAAGACAACAAGGGGTCTTGAAGGCAACCAGGGGTCTTGAAGACAACCAGGTGACTTGAAGACAACTAGGTGTCTTGAAAACCAGTGTCTTGAAGACAACCAGGTCTTGAAGACAACCAGGGGCTTGAAGACAACCAGGGGTCTTGAAGACAACCAGGGGTCTTGAAGGGCAACCAGGTGTCTTGAAGAAAAACCAGTGGTCTTGAAGACAACCAGGGGTCTTGAAGACAACCAGGGGTCTTTAAGACAGCCAGGTGTCATGAAGACAACCAGGTGACTTGAAGACAACCAGGTGTCTTGAAGACAATCAAGTGTCTTGAAGACAACCAGGTGACTTGAAGACAACCAGGTGTCTGAAGAAAAACAGGTGCTTGAAGACAACCCGGTGAGTTGAAGAAAAACCAATAGTCTTGAAGACAACCAGGAGTCTTGAAGACAACCAAGGGTCTTGAAGACAACCAGGGGTCTTGAAGACAACCAGATGAGTTGAAGACAACCAGGAGTCTTGAAGACAACCAGGAGTCTTGAAGACAACCAGGTGAGTTGAAGACAACCAGGGGTGTTGAAGACAACCAGGGGTCTTGAAAACAACCAGTGGTCTTGAAGACAACCAGGGGTCTTGAAGACAACCAGGAGTCTTGAAGACAACCAGGAGTCTTGAAGACAACCAGGGGTCTTGAAGACAACCAGGTGTCTTGGAGACAACCAGGTGTCTTGAAGACAACCAGGAGTCTTGAAGACAACCAGGTATCTTGAAGACAACCAGGTGACTTGAAGACAACCAGGTGTCTTGAAGACAACCAGGTGAGTTGAAGACAACCAGGAGTCTTGAAGACAACCAGGAGTCTTGAAGACAACCAGGGGTCTTGAAGACAACCAGGTGTCTTGAAGACAACCAGGAGTCTTGAAGACAACCAGGTGAGTTGAAGACAACCAGGGGTCTTGAAGACAACCAGGGGTCTTGAAGACAACCAGGTCAGTTGAAGACAACCAGGAGTCTTGAAGACAACCAGGGGTCTTGAAGACAACCAGGTGAGTTGAAGACAACCAGGTGTCTTGAAGACAAGCCAGGAGTCTTGAAGACAACCAGGGGTCTTGAAGACAACCAGGGGACTTTAAGACAACCCGGTGATTTGAAGACAACCAGGTGTCTTGAAGACAACCAGGGGTCTTGAAGAAAACCAGTGAGTTAAGACAACCAGGTGTCTTGAAGACAACCAGGAGTCTTGAAGACAACCAGGGGTCTTGAAGACAACCAGGGGTCTTGAAGACAACCAGGTGTCTTGAAGACAACCAGGATCTTGAAGACAACAGGATCTTGAAGACCCCAAACCCGGAGGGCTTGAAGACAACCAGTGGTCTTGAAGACAACCAGGGGTCTTTTAAGACAGCCAGGAGTCTTGAAGACAGCCAGGAGTCTTGAAGACAACCAGGAGTCTTGAAGACAACCAGGAGTCTTGAAGACAACCAGGAGTCTTGAAACAACCAGGAGTCTTGAAGACAACCAGGAGTCTTGAAGACAACCAGGTGTCTTGAAGACAACCAGGTGTCTTGAAGACAACCAGGTGTCTTGAAGACAACCAGGATTCTTGAAGACAACCAGGGGTCATGAAGACAACCAGGTGTCTTGAAGACAACCAGGGGTCTATTGGTAATCCCCTTTATGTATGCAGGAAGGCAGTTGAACAATCTTGGGTCCCTGACACTGAATATCACAGATAACTGCAGTTGCCGCTCCTCTGGTACAAGTCTCCAGACAAGACCAGTACGCGTTCCAACCGCGTTCTGTACATGTTACTTTGTAAGAACTAGCTTACCTAGTTGATTACTCGCTTATAAGCTGATTTGTAACCAGGGTGTTCTATATTGCTTAAGTACATTACATACAGTGTACACTGTATACCTGAAAGACTCATAACTGAAAATAAGCGTAGGCCTACTGACCTATAAGCCGCCTGTCCCTGGTCCAGGCTACGGTAGGCCTAGGCCAGCCTCTAAATTCACACACCAGGGCCGCGCAGCCCGTCACCTCCGCCCACACCACGCCCACGCCGCCCACGATCTCCGGGGCATCTGTAAGATAAACCCGCAGCGAATCAACTAATGGATGGGATTGAAACCTTCTGGGAATTATAATATATATATATATATTATATATATATATATATATTTAATATATATATATATATATATATATATATATATATATATATATTATATATATATATATACTATATATATTTATATATGCACTGAGAGGTCTATATCTCAGTGTATATACAGTGTGTACGTTTTATATTAATCAGTATTTTAGGTATTAAAGTATTCTTGACTGGTGGTGACCAGGTGACCTGCAGCCTTAATGACCCTCGTGTAGTAGATAGACTTTAAACCCCATTAACCAACCAACCAGTCTTAATGACCCTGGTGTAGTAGATAGACTTTAAACCCCATTAACCCACCAACCAGTCTTAATGACCCTGGTGTAGTAGATAGACTTTAAACCCCATTAACCAACCAACCAGTCTTAAGACTGGTTGGTTGGTTAATGGGGTTTAAAGTCTATCTACTACACCAGGGTCATTAATGACCCTGGTGTAGTAGATAGACTTTAAACCCCATTAACCAACCAACCAGTCTTAATGACCCTGGTGTAGTAGATATACTTTAAACCCCATTAACCAACCAACCAGTCTTAATGACCCTCGTGTAGTAGATAGACTTTAAACCCCATTAACCAACCAACCAGTCTTAATGACCCTCGTGTAGTAGATAGACTTTAAACCCCATTAACCAACAAACCAGTCTTAATGACCCTCGTGTAGTAGATAGACTTTAAACCCCATTAACCAACCAACCAGTCTTAATGACCCTCGTGTAGTAGATAGACTTTAACCCATAACCAACCAACCAGTCTTAATGACCCTGGAGTAGTAGATAGACTTTAAACCCCATTAACCAACCAACCAGTCTTAATGACCCTCGTGTAGTAGATAGACTTTAAACCCCATTAACCAACCAACCAGTCTTAATGACCCTCGTGTAGTAGATAGACTTTAACCCCATTAACCAAACCAACCAGCCTTAATGACCCTCGTGTAGTAGATAGACTTTAAACCCATTAACCAACCAACCAGTCTTAATGACCCTGGAGTAGTAGATAGACTTTAAACCCCATTAACCAACCAACCAGTCTTAATGACCCTCGTGTAGTAGATAGACTTTAAACCCCATTAACCAACCAACCAGTCTTAATGACCCTCGTGTAGTAGATAGACTTTAAACCCCATTAACCAACCAACCAGTCTTAATGACCCTGGAGTAGTAGATAGACTTTAAACCCCATTAACCAACCAACCAGTCTTAATGACCCTCGTGTAGTAGATAGACTTTAAACCCCATTAACCAACCAACCAGTCTTAATGACCCTGGAGTAGTAGATAGACTTTAAACCCCATTAACCAACCAACCAGTCTTAATGACCCTCGTGTAGTAGATAGACTTTAAACCCCATTAACCAACCAACCAGTCTTAATGACCCTCGTGTAGTAGATAGACTTTAAACCCCATTAACCAACCAACCAGCCTTAATGACCCTCGTGTAGTAGATAGACTTTAAACCCATTAACCAACCAACCAGTCTTAATGACCTGGAGTAGTAGATAGACTTTAAACCCCATTAACCAACCAACCAGTCTTAATGACCCTCGTGTAGTAGATAGACTTTAAACCCCATTAACCAACCAACCAGTCTTAATGACCCTCCTGTAGTAGATAGACTTTAAACCCCATTAACCAACCAACCAGTCTTAATGACCCTCGTGTAGTAGATAGACTTTAAACCCCATTAACCAACCAACCAGTCTTAATGACCCTGGTGTAGTAGATAGACTTTAAACCCCATTAACCAACCAACCAGTCTTAATGACCCTCGTGTAGTAGACTTTAAACCCCATTAACCGACCAACCAGTCTTAATGACCCTCGTGTAGTAGACTTTAAACCCCATTAACCAACCAACCAGTCTTAATGACCCTCGTGTAGTAGACTTTAAACCCCATTAACCAACCAACCAGTCTTAATGACCCTCGTGTAGTAGACTTTAAACCCCATTAACCAACCAACCAGTCTTAATGACCCTCGTGTAGTAGACTTTAAACCCCATTAACCAACCAACCAGTCTTAATGACCCTGGTGTAGTAGATAGACTTTAAACCCCATTAACCAACCAACCAGTCTTAATGACCCTCGTGTAGTAGACTTTAAACCCCATTAACCAACCAACCAGTCTTAATGACCCTCGTGTAGTAGACTTTAAACCCCATTAACCAACCAACCAGTCTTAATGACCCTCGTGTAGTAGACTTTAAACCCCTTAACCAACCAACCAGTCTTAATGACCCTCGTGTAGTAGACTTTAAACCCCATTAACCAACCAACCAGTCTTAATGACCCTCGTGTAGTAGACTTTAAACCCCATTAACCAACCAACCAGTCTTAATGACCCTCGTGTAGTAGACTTTAAACCCCATTAACCAACCAACCAGTCTTAATGACCCTGGTGTAGTAGATAGACTTTAAACCCCATTAACCAACCAACCAGTCTTAATGACCCTCGTGTAGTAGACTTTAAACCCTTAACCAACCAACCAGTCTTAATGACCCTGTGTAGTAGACTTTAAACCCATTTAACCAACCAACCAGTCTTAATGACCCTCGTGTAGTAGACTTTAAACCCCATTAACCAACCAACCAGTCTTAATGACCCTCGTGTAGTAGACTTTAAACCCCATTAACCAACCAACCAGTCTTAATGACCCTGGTGTAATCTCTGCACACACAGTACTCAGGGAGACTATTATAATATCCTTTCAATTGAGCTGCCGTCTTCCTCTCGAGGTGCCGTTTGTCTTGGGACAAACTCAGTGAGACTGTGGTAGAATACTGTGACGGCAACAGAGGTCGGAGACACACCATCGTCTCTTGGCGCCATCGCCGTTTAAGAGGGTCGGCGCACACACCACTGTTCCCTCCGGTGACACTTCTCCTTCTTCCCAAGTGTTCAAGGCAACGTGCTACACTCGTACCAGACAAGCGCGAGCAGCGTTAACGCCGTTTTTTTCTTCCATCTTGGGGAGCGGCACCACCCGTCTCCCTAACTGTACATGCTCTGAGAAAATGGTGTATATGTCTCAATTCGAAAGTACTGGGTTGTGTGTCTTTTCAACGGGAAATCCTCGTCGAAAAATTCCTGAGACTCAGTCATTTTTTGGGACTTACATCCGGCGGCATCCCGGCCGAAAACATCTCATAGTCTCTTGGCGCAATCGCCGTCTAAGAGGGCCGGCCGGGTATGTTCCGGCCGGCCGGAATCATGTTCTGTCCGGCCGGGAACTGGACAGAACATGTCTGGTACATGCCGGAACATGCCTGCCGTTGGCAGGACATGCCGGCGGTCCAGATGCCGGCCGGCCGAAAACACCCCATAGTCTCTTGGTGCCACCGCCGTCTAAGAGGGCCGGCGCACAGCGAGACTATTTTGACATGCTCTCTTTGGAGCTGCCGTCTCCTTCTCGACTTGCCGTTTGTCTTGGAACAAACTCAGTGACACTACGGTCGGTGATGTGCTGCCGTCTTCCTCTCACCGTGCCGTTTGTGTTTAAACACATACCCGTTCCCTCGGGTATGTTCCGACCGGCCGGAAACTGGACGGAACATGTCTGGTATATGCCGGAACATGCCGGAACATGCCGGAACATGCCGGAACATGCCTGCCGTTGGCAGTACATGCCGGCGGCAGCATCTCGGCAGGCCGAAAACACCCCTTAGTAGTTTATATTAATCAGTATTTTAGGTATTAAAGTATTCTTGACTGGTGGTGACCAGGTGACCTGCAGTCTTAATGACCCTCGTGTAGTTAGACTTTAAACCCCATTAACCACCCAACCAGTCTTAATGACCCTCGTGTAGTTAGACAGACTTTAAACCCCATTAACCAACCAACCAGTCAGATAGTGGTATTTACACTTGACTGTCAGCTGGTGGTACTTACACTCGACTGTCAGCTGATGGTACTCACACTTGACTGTCAGCTGGGCCCTTGCTGACACTGCTGGCGGAACACCATTGGAAGCAACACAGAGAAAGGCTCCTGTGTGACCTCTGGTGACTGGTGACAACACTAGACGAGGTCCCGTCCCTGCTGTTAGAGAGACAGTGTTAGGGTGTTAGACAGTGTTAGTGTGTTAGACAGTATTAGAGATGGGTACTGGGGTATCCCTCCTCCAGGTACACTCACCTTGGGACTGGTTGAGAGAGATGGGTACTGGGGTATCCCTCCTCCAGGTGAGTGTTGGTACTGGGTCGCCAGTAGCTTCACACTCTAGTACGACGTCCTGGCCTTCTACTGCCTCTGCGTCGTCAGGAGGTCGTACGATCACTGGTGACGCTGACGAAGATAACGTAGAATATGTTGTAGAAGGTACACATACACAGACATACACATACACAGCTAAGGGGAGACATGATAACGACATTCAAAATACTGCGAGGAATAGACAAGGTGGACAGATACAGGATGTTCCAGAGATGGGACACAGCAACAAGGGGACACAGCAACAAGGGGACACAGCAACAAGGGGACACAGCAACAAGGGGACACAGCAACAAGGGGACACAGCAACAAGGGGACACAGCAACAAGGGGACACAGCAACAAGGGGACACAGCAACAAGGGGACACAACAACAAGGGGACACAGCAACAAGGGGACACAGCAACAAGGGGACACAGCAACAAGGGGACACAGCAACAAGGGGACACAGCAACAAGGGAAACAGCAACAAGGGGACACAGCAACAAGGGGACACAACAACAAGGGGACACAACAACAAGGGGACACAACAACAAGGGGACACAGCAACAAGGGGACACAACAACAAGGGGACACAACAACAAGGGACACAGCAACAAGGGGACACAGCAACAAGGGGACACAGCAACAAGGGTACACAGCAACAAGGGTACACAGCAACAAGGGGACACAACAACAAGGGGACACAACAACAAGGGGACACAGCAACAAGGGGACACAACAACAAGGGGACACAGCAAAAAGGGGACACAACAACAAGGGGACACAGCAACAAGGGAACACAGCAACAAGGGGACACAGCAACAATGGGACACAGCAACAAGGGGACACAGCAACAAGGGGACACAACAACAAGGGGACACAACAACAAGGGGACACAGCAACAAGGGGACACAGCAACAAGGGGACACAGCAACAAGGGGACACAGCAACAAGGGGGCACAGTAACAAGGGGTCACAGTAACAAGGGGACACAGCAACAAGGGGTCACAGTAACAAGGGGACACAGCAACAAGGGGACACAGCAACAAGGGGACACATCAACAAGGGGACACAATTGGAAGATGAAGTCTCAGATGAGTCACAGGGATGTTAGGAAGTATTTCTTCAGTCACAGAGTTGTCAGGAAGTGGAATAGTCTGGCAAGTGATGTAGTGGAGGCAGGAACCATACACAGCTTTAAGGCGAGGTATGACAAAGCTCAGGGAGCAGGGAGAGAGAGGACCTAGTAGCGATCAGTGAAGAGACGGGGCCAGGAGCTGAGTCTCGACTCCTGCAACCACAATTAGGTGAGTACACTACATCAATGTTAGAAGACAATTGTAGAGTTAGAAGGTAAACTAACCCACCACATCAATGTTAGAAGGTAAACTAAGTCACTACATCAATGTTAGAAGCTAAACTAAGTCACTACATCAATGTTAGAAGTTAAACTAACCCACTACATCAATGTTAGAAGGTAAACTAAGTCACTACATCAATGTTAGAAGCTAAACTAAGTCACTACATCAATGTTAGAAGTTAAACTAACCCACTACATCAATGTTAGAAGGTAAACTAAGTCACTACATCAATGTTAGAAGCTAAACTAACCCACTACATCAATGTTAGAAGCTAAACTAAGTCACTACATCAATGTTAGAAGCTAAACTAACCCACTACATCAATGTTAGAAGGTAAACTAAGTCACTACATCAATGTTAGAAGGTAAACTAAGTCACTACATCAATGTTAGAAGGTAAACTAACCCACCACATCAATGTTAGAAGGTAAACTAACCCACTACATCAATGTTAGAAGGTAAACTAAGCCACTACATCAATGTTAGAAGACAATTGTAGAGTTAGAAGGTAAACTAACCCACTACATCAATGTTAGAAGGTAAACTAAGTCACTACATCAATGTTAGAAGGTACACTAAGTCACTACATCAATGTTAGAAGGTAAACTAACCCACTACATCAATGTTAGAAGGTAAACTAACCCACCACATCAATGTTAGAAGGTAAACTAACCACTACATCAATGTTAGAAGGTAAACTAAGCCACTACATCAATGTTAGAAGACAATTGTAGAGTTAGAAGGTAAACTAAGCCACTACATCAATGTTAGAAGGTAAACTAAGTCACTACATCAATGTTAGAAGACAATTGTAGAGTTAGAAGGTAAACTAACCCACTACATCAATGTTAGAAGGTAAACTAAGTCACTACATCAATGTTAGAAGGTAAACTAACCCACTACATCAATGTTAGAAGGTAAACTAACCCACTACATCAATGTTAGAAGTAAACTAAACACATCAATGTTAGAAGGTAACTAAGTCACTACCATGTTAGAAGTAAACTAACCCACTACATCAATGTTAGAAGGTAAACTAAGTCACTACATCAATGTTAGAAGGTAAACTAAGTCACTACATCAATGTTAGAAGCTAAACTAACCCACTACATCAATGTTAGAAGGTAAACTAAGTCACTACATCAATGTTAGAAGGTAAACTAACTCACTACTTAAATGTTAGAAGGTAAACTAACCCACTACTTAAATGTTAGAAGGTAAACTAACCCACTACATCAATGTTAGAAGGTAAACTAACCCACTACATCAATGTTAGAAGGTAAACTAACCCACTACTTAAATGTTAGAAGGTAAACTAACCCACTACATCAATGTTAGAAGGTAAACTAACCCACTACATCAATGTTAGAAGGTAAACTAACCCACTACTCAATGTTAGAAGGTAAACTAAGCACTACATCAATGTTAGAAGGTAAACTAACCCACTACATCAATGTTAGAAGGTAAACTAACCCACTACATCAATGTTAGAAGGTAAACTAACCCACTACATCAATGTTAGAAGGTAAACTAAGCCACTACATCAATGTTAGAAGGTAAACTAAGCACTACATCAATGTTAGAAAGTAAACTAACCCACTACATCAATGTTAGAAGGTAAACTAAGCCACTACATCAATGTTAGAAGGTAAACTAACTCACTACTTCAATGTTAGAAGGTAAACTAACCCACTACATCAATGTTAGAAGGTAAACTAACCCACTACATCAATGTTAGAAGGTAAACTAACCCACTACTTAAATGTTAGAAGGTAAACTAAGCCACTACATCAATCTTAGAAGGTAAACTAAGCCACTACATCAATGTTAGAAGGTAAACTAACCCACTACATCAATGTTAGAAGGTAAACTAACCCACTACATCAATGTTAGAAGGTAAACTAACCCACTATATCAATGTTAGAAGGTAAACTAACCCACTACATCAATGTTAGAAGGTAAACTAAGTCCACTACATCAATGTTAGAAGGTAAACTAACCACTACATCAATGTTAGAAGGTAAACTAAGTCACTACATCAATGTTAGAAGGTAAACTAAGTCACTACATCAATGTTAGAAGGTAAACTAACCCACTACATCAATGTTAGAAGGTAAACTAAGTCACTACATCAATGTTAGAAGGTAAACTAAGTCACTACATCAATGTTAGAAGGTAAACTAACCCACTACATCAATGTTAGAAGGTAAACTAACCACTACATCAATGTTAGAAGGTAAACTAACCCACTTACATCAAGTTAGAAGGTAAACTAACCCACTACTTAAATGTTAGAAGGTAAACTAAGCCACTACATCAATGTTAGAAGGTAAACTAACCCACTACATCAATGTTAGAAGGTAAACTAACCCACTACATCAATGTTAGAAGGTAAACTAACCACTACATCAATGTTAGAAGGTAAACTAACCCACTACATCAATGTTAGAAGGTAAACTAACCCACTACATCAATGTTAGAAGGTAAACTAACCCACTACATCAATGTTAGAAGGTAAACTAAGCCACTACATCAATGTTAGAAGGTAAACTAAGCACTACATCAATGTTAGAAAGTAAACTAACCCACTACATCAATGTTAGAAGGTAAACTAAGCCACTACATCAATGTTAGAAGGTAAACTAACTCACTACTTAAATGTTAGAAGGTAAACTAACCCACTACATCAATGTTAGAAGGTAAACTAAGCCACTACATCAATGTTAGAAGGTAAACTAACCCACTACATCAATGTTAGAAGGTAAACTAAGCCACTACATCAATCTTAGAAGGTAAACTAACCCACTACATCAATGTTAGAAGGCAAACTAACCCACTACATCAATGTTAGAAGGTAAACTAACCCACTACATCAATGTTAGAAGGTAAACTAAGCACTACATCAATGTTAGAAGGTAAACTAACCCACTACATCAATGTTAGAAGGTAAACTAACCCACTACATCAATGTTAGAAGGTAAACTAAGTCACTACATCAATGTTAGAAGGTAAACTAAGTCACTACATCAATGTTAGAAGGTAAACTAACCCACTACATCAATGTTAGAAGGTAAACTAACCCACTACATCAATGTTAGAAGGTAAACTAACCCACTACATCAATGTTAGAAGGTAAACCCACTACTTAAATGTTAGAAGGTAAACTAAGCCACTACATCAATCTTAGAAGGTAAACTAACCCACTACATCAATGTTAGAAGGCAAACTAACCCACTACATCAATGTTAGAAGGTAAACTAACCACTACATCAATGTTAGAAGGTAAACTAACCCACTACATCAATGTTAGAAGGTAAACTAACCCACTACATCAATGTTAGAAGGTAAACTAACCCACTACATCAATGTTAGAAGGTAAACTAAGCCACTACATCAATGTTAGAAGGTAAACTAAGCACTACATCAATGTTAGAAAGTAAACTAACCCACTACATCAATGTTAGAAGGTAAACTAAGCCACTACATCAATGTTAGAAGGTAAACTAACTCACTACTTCAATGTTAGAAGGTGAATTAACCCACTACATCAATGTTAGAAGGTAAACTAACCCACTACATCAATGTTAGAAGGCTAAACTAACCCACTACATTCAATGTTAGAAGGTAAACTAACCCACTACATCAATGTTAGAAGGTAAACTAACCACTACATCAATGTTAGAAGGCAAACTAACCCACTACATCAATGTTAGAAGGCAAACTAACCCACTACATCAATGTTAGAAGGTAAACTAACCCACTACATCAATGTTAGAATGTAAACTAAGCCACTACATCAATGTTAGAAGGTAAACTAACCCACTACATCAATGTTAGAAGGTAAACTAACCCACTACATCAATGTTAGAAGGTAAACTAACCCACTACATCAATGTTAGAAGGTAAACTAACCCACTACATCAATGTTAGAAGGTAAACTAACCCACTACATCAATGTTAGAAGGTAAACTAAGTCCACTACATCAATGTTAGAAGGTAAACACTAACCCACTACATCAATGTTAGAAGGTAAACTAACCACTACATCAATGTTAGAAGGTAAACTAACTCCACTACATCAATGTTAGAAGGTAAACTAACCCACTACATCAATGTTAGAAGGTAAACTAAGTCACTACATCAATGTTAGAAGGTAAACTAACCCACTACATCAATGTTAGAAGGTAAACTAAGTCACTACATCAATGTTAGAAGGTAAACTAAGCCACTACATCAATGTTAGAAGGTAAACTAACCCACTACATCAATGTTAGAAGGTAAACTAACCCACTACATCAATGTTAGAAGGTAAACTAAGTCACTACATCAATGTTAGAAGGTAAACTAACTCACTACTTAAATGTTAGAAGGTAAACTAACCCACTACATCAATGTTAGAAGGTAAACTAACCCACTACATCAATGTTAGAAGGTAAACTAACCCACTACATCAATGTTAGAAGGTAAACTAAGCCACTACATCAATGTTAGAAGGTAAACTAAGCCACTACATCAATGTTAGAAGGTAAACTAACCCACTACATCAATGTTAGAAGGCAAACTAACCCACTACATCAATGTTAGAAGGTAAACTAACCCACTACATCAATGTTAGAAGGTAAACTAACCCACTACATCAATGTTAGAAGGTAAATAACCCACTACATCAATGTTAGAAGGTAAACTAACCCACTACATCAATGTTAGAAGGTAAACTAAGCCACTACATCAATGTTAGAAGGTAAACTAAGCCACTACATCAATGTTAGAAGGTAAACTAACCCACTACATCAATGTTAGAAGGTAAACTAACCCACTACATCAATGTTAGAAGGTAAACTAACCCACTACATCAATGTTAGAAGGTAAACTAAGCACTACATCAATGTTAGAAAGTAAACTAACCCACTACATCAATGTTAGAAGGTAAACTAACCCTCTACATCAATGTTAGAAGGTAAACTAACCACTACATCAATGTTAAGGTAAACTAAGCACTACATCAATGTTAGAAAGTAAACTAACCCACTACATCAATGTTAGAAGGTAAACTAACCCACTACATCAATGTTAGAAGGTAAACTAACCACTACATCAATGTTAGAAGGTAAACTAACCACTACATCAATGTTAGAAGGTAAACTAACCCACTACATCAATGTTAGAAGGTAAACTAAGCACTACATCAATGTTAGAAGTAAACTAACCCACTACATCAATGTTAGAAGGTAAACTAACCACTACATCAATGTTAGAAGGTAAACTAACCCACTACATCAATGTTAGAAGGTAAACTAACCACTACATCAATGTTAGAAGGTAAACTAACCACTACATCAATGTTAGAAGGTAAACTAACCACTACATCAATGTTAGAAGGTAAACTAACCCACTACATCAATGTTAGAAGGTAAACTAAGCCACTACATCAATGTTAGAAGGTAAACTAAGCCACTACATCAATGTTAGAAGGTAAACTAACCCACTACATCAATGTTAGAAGGTAAACTAATCCACTACATCAATGTTAGAAGGTAAACTAATCCACTACATCAATGTTAGAAGGTAAACTAACCCACTACATCAATGTTAGAAGGTAAACTAAGCACTACATCAATGTTAGAAGGTAAACTAACCACTACATCAATGTTAGAAAGTAAAACCCACTACATCAATGTTAGAAGGTAAACTAAACCCACTACACTCAATGTTAGAAGGTAAACTAACCACTACATCAATGTTAGAAGGTAAACTAACCCACTACAATCAATGTTAGAAGGTAAAACTAATCCCAACTACATCAATGTTAGAAGGTAAACTAACCCACTACATCAATGTTACAAGGTAAACTAATCACTACATCAAGTGTTAGAAGGTAAACTAACCCACTACTCAATGTTAAGAAGGTGAACTAAGTCACATACTCAAGTGTTGAAGTAGAACGTAACCTGTACTAACAGTCATATGTTGACACAGGTAAACCTACATCACTACATAGTATGTTAGAACAGGTAAACATAACCCACTTTCACATGTTACAGTGAACTAACCAGGTAATCTTAGTGTAGACAGGTAGAAACTACCACACGTACATCAACTCTTGAGTGGTGAACTCACATGCATACGTGAAGGTGAAAGTAGATGTCTGTTGATGGTGGAACAGTATGTCTAGTGACACGTTAAGTTCCGCCATCATAGTACGTGATGATGTTAGTTGATTCTAGTGACTCCAGTCAAGTACCCACACTATGTATCCTTGATAGTGACCTCTCTGTCGAATCAAGTGATGACTTGGGTGTCTATGTCGAGCCGGTCTACCTCTTGGCCGTAGTGCGTCAGCAGTACCTGGATGAGACCAGGATATGTTTCCTCTAGGTGGGATACCATATGCTTGAACTGTACATTCCTGATATGTATTACATATGGTGGTATGATGTATATGTTGCTCCACTACTACCACTACCTACTACCACCACTTACTTGTAATGACGCAGGTTTGTCGACACACAGTCAGTCTTGCTTGTCGACAGTAGTTACTGTCAGGTTCTGTTGTGTTGTTGACAGCCAGGGATGACAGTCTGCAGGGATACACCAGTTATTATCCCTACTACGAGGATACTATGTGTACTATGTACTATCACGGACTACCATGTACTATCTGTATCATGTACTATTATGGACTGCCATGTACTATCTGTACCTTGTACTACCATGTACATTATACCTGGGATATTACAAAAGTCTTGCTGCAAAACAATAAAATATCTTAGTTTCACTTACCCTCATCAGCCAGAGTTAATTTGGGTAACAGCAGCAGCCACACCAGCATCACCCACACCTGTCTCCACACCACCAGGCTACACCTGTCGCAGGTGTATGCAAATGAAATTCCGGCAGGAGGCCAGTTCATAGTGGTCTTGTGGGAAGGGATGTCCGCAGCTTCAGCAACCTGGATGTCTGGTTTCCCGTTGGTGGCTGACAGACCACTGGTCTTGTGGTCTTTACGTTCTGTCATCACTGAACGTTCTTCGGGTGAACGAGAATTGGTTTTGTAAGCTTTGATTCTCTTGTGGTTAGCGATGTCAGCCTGATTGTACCTCGCAAAGGAATGAGGATGATGTACCTTGGCCTGGATGCTGTTACCTTCTTGGTGGGACATCGAAGTCACAAAGGATTGAGGATGATGTACCTGGGCCTGGATGCTGTTACCTTCTTGGTGGGACATCGAAGTCACAAAGGATTGAGGATGATGTACCTGGACCTGGATGCTGTTACCTTCTTGGTGGGACATCGAAGACACAAAGGATTGAGGATGATGTACCTGGGCCTGGATGCTGTTACTTTCTTGGTGGGACATCGAAGTCACAAAGGATTGAGGATGATGCACCTGGACCTGGATGCTGTTACTTTCTTGGCGGAACATCGAAGTCACAATCTTCAGCATGAAGTTGAGTGGTGGAACATCGACGTATGATCATTTAACACGATGTACAGTTGATGGAACATAGGCATATGATCATTTAACATGAAATATCACTACGGAGCATCACAACACGATCACTTAGCACGAATTAACCACCAATTCTCCAGTCCGTCCCGTGATATTCACACTACACAACTTGCATCACTCAGACCTCATGTTCACCCGAAAATCTTGCTTCACGTTTCAACTGAATAACTATTAATCTTACTTAATGTCTTACAAAAAGAATTCACAATTACAGAAAAGAAATTTTGGCTTGTCTGTCAGAACTCAAAAAGGGCGACCCCCTCTGACACGATCACCTGTATCTCAATACACTTTTTTTTTCTTTGCATTTATAAGGCGGGTACTTATTGCAGAACAACCCATGAATGGAATCTGTAGTAGATTTGGTGAGGATGTCCTCAGGTCGGCCATAATTTCAGGCCTTTTCAGGCCTTTTTATGCAGATACAGAAAGAGGCCTGAAAAGGCCTCTTTCTGTATCTACAGGTGTCTCAGGCCTGTATCACCACACGCATTACCTTAGCCACCATGATATCACCACTCCCATTACCTCCAGTACCCCCCCATATGCCATGTCAACCCACCACCCATCTGTAACCATCAGCCCCCATGCTGTCACCCCACCCATTACCTCAGCCACCATGCTATCACCCCACCCATTACCTCAGCCACCATGCTATCACCCCACCTATTACCTCGGCCACCATGCTGTCACCCCACCCATTACCTCAGCCACCATGCTATCACCCCCACTTATTACCTCGGCCACCATGCTATCACCCCCACCTATTACCTCGGCCACCATTCTATCACCCCCACCTATTACCTCGGCCACCATGCTATCACCACACCCATTACCTCAGCCACCATGCTAACCTCACATACAGTGTATGTGAGGTTAGTATGAGTGTATAACTTGGCCAGGTGTGCCACTAGGCCAGGTGTACCACTAGGCCAGGTGTGCCACTAGGCCAGGTGTGCCACTAGGCCAGGTGTGCCTGGAGTTTACCTGGAGAGAGTTCCGGGGGTCAACGCCCCCGCGGCCCGGTCTGTGACCAGGCCTCCTGGTGGATCAGAGCCTGATCAACCAGGCTGTTGCTGCTGGCTGCACGCAAACCAACGTACGAGCCACAGCCCGGCTGGTCAGGAACCGACTTTAGGTGCTTGTCCAGTGCCAGCTTGAAGACTGCCAGGGTTCTGTTGGTAATCCCCCTTATGTATGCTGGGAGGCAGTTGAACAGTCTCGGGCCCCTGACACTTATTGTATGGTCTCTTAACGTGCTAGTGACACCCCTGCTTTTCATTGGGGGGATGGTGCATCGTCTGCCAAGTCTTTTGCTTTCGTAGTGAGTGATTTTCGTGTGCAAAGTTCGGTACTAGTCCCTCTAGGATTTTCCAGGTGTATATAATCATGTATCTCTCCCTCCTGCGTTCCAGGCGTACCACTAGGCCAGGTGTGCCACTAGGCCAGGTGTGCCACTTGACCAGGTGTGCCACTTGGCCAGGGGTGCCATTTGGCCAGGTGTGCCACTTGGCCAGGTGTGCCACTGGGCTAAGTGCACCACTTGGCCAAGTTATTGTTCTGGCACTAAGGCCACATAAGCTTTATTCCTGCGACAGACTATTGTTTACCCACTTCAAATTGACTATTATCACCTATAGGAACGGGGCCAGGAGCTATGACTCGACCCCTGCGACCACATATACTAACAGTACCGTCTTCAGAAATTTTATATTTTTTTTTCCAGTTCCAACAACGCCAACTTTCCAGCAGTAAATTAATACGCCAAAATCCAGTCTTTTTCTTCTAGGACGAACTTTGATATATGTCATATAGATTTTTTTGGCTCTAAAAAACGGGAAAAAGAATGGATTTTCTGTTGTAAAACAACGGTGTTTTTTCTGTTAGATTGTCTGTTGGGGCGTTGGCTCTAACAGGTAAAATTTATAGATGGTAATGGAGCAATTAGTAGGAATTTTGGGACGCTAATTAAGCTTGTGATGATTAGTGTGTGTGTGTACTCACCTATATGTAGTTGCAGGGGTTGAGTCACAGCTCCTGTCCCCGCCTCTTCACTGGTCGCTACTTGGTCACTCTCTCACTACTCCATGAGCTTTATCATACCTCGTCTTAAAGCTATGTATGGTTCCTGCCTCCACTACATCGCTTCCCAAACTATTCCACTTACTGACTACTCTGTGGCTGAAGAAATACTTCCTAACATCCCTGTGACTCATCTGTGTCTTCAACTTCCAACTGTGTCCCCTTGTTACTGTGTCCAATCTCTGGAACATCCTGTCTTTGTCCACCTTGTCTATTCCTCTGAGTATTTTGTATGTTGTTATCATGTCCCCCCTATCTCTCCTGTCTTCCAGTGTCGTCAGGTCGAGTTCCCTTAACCTCTCCTCGTAGGACATACCTCTTAGCTCCAGGACTAGTCTCATTGCAAACCTTTGCACTTTCTCTAGATTCCTGACGTCATTGACCAGGTGTGGGTTCCAAACTGGTGCTGCTTACTCCAGTATGGGCCTGACGTACACGGTGTACAGAGTCCTGAACTCCTCCTCAGGTTTGCCAGGCGCTCATATGCTGCAGCAGCTATTTGATTTGATTGATTGATACGCGTTTTCCCAGTCAGTGATGACTAGTCCTACCCATATGGGTTCAACTGGCCAGGGTGGCCATCCACCATTGCTCTAATCGTAATCCTGTCTTGGTCTCTTGCTGTTCGGTGGTGGGTTGTACCTCACTGCTATCATCACCTTTGGACCCACAGTATGAAGTGTTCCTATTCCTGTTTACTCTTCAGTAAAATAGGTACCTGGGTGTTAGGTGACTGGCGTGGGTGGCATCCTGGGGACAAAATTAACCTAAGTTGCGACAAATGCTCTACATAACCAGCGACTTTCTATATAGGATGTCACTGATGTCAGCTATGGTCTGTATAAGTTGTATCATGTACTGGTAGAAATTAAGATTATTATTATGAAGTCATCCACTTCCCCTCTGTCCATTCCTCCCATTTCCTCAAAACTTCAAACTATCCACTCCCCTCTATCTTTCCTCAGGATCTGATATCCATTTGGAAAGACTGCATCTGTTATCATCCCCTTGAGCTTTGTCTCTGTGAGTGCTATGATGTCCGGGGATGCCTCAATGATTCGCTCTTGCCACTTGTCAGTCTTTGTTATTCCATCTGCAATGGCGTACTGTCAGCTTCCTTTCCAGTGCTATATTTTGGGAGGTGGGACAGGTTGGTGTGGAAGGCAGGGATGGATATTATGAAAGGCTACTGTGATATTGGTATTACTGCTGGGGGCTGTGGAATATGGTTTGTGATTATTGTGTTTGGTTGGTATGGGGTGGTAGGGGTTGACTGGGTTCTGTAAACATTTGTGTTTAGTGTTCCCCGGCAAAACTGAGCTTCCTTGTCTATCTATGTCTGTCCTGTCTCTCTTTCCTTCCACTGGTGTCTTCTTACTCTCACTCTCAGTAGTCTCGTTCTATTTGTGTTCCGTCACGGTCGTGGTACACTCGCGGATATTCTCGGGGGCCCTTTAACAGTGATGAAATTAAGACATGTGTGCAACATCTGGGTATCTTTATTGTAGACGTTTCGCCATCCAGTGGCTTTATCAATACAAATTCCAGGACATAACTTGAAGACAGTAGGACTATATACAGAAGATGAGGTAATCAGTCCCTCAACCTAGGAGTCGGTGCGAAGAGCACTATAGTCGTGGAGATTCTGTCGTAGGATTCTGCCCCATACCACGTCTCTCTTTAAGATCATCCCTTCAACTTCCTAAACCCCATGTTTGTGAGTGTAGTAGTAATAGTAATAATAATAGTAATAATAATAATAATAATAATTATTATTATTATTATTATTAATATTATTATAATTATTATCACTGTCAGCATTGGTATATAATTATAATAATGCTTCGAATGACCTTCAAAATGGCGCACAAATATGAGGGTCATGTGTGTTCACAATGTTCCTGTGTGTTCACAATGTTCATGTGTGTTCACAATGTTCATGTGTGTTCACAATGTTCATGTGTGTTCACAATGTTCATGTGTGTTCACAATGTTCATGTGTGTTCACAATGTTCATGTGTGTTCACAATGTTCCTGTGTGTTCACAATGTTCCTGTGTGTTCACAATGTTCATGTGTGTTCACAATGTTCATGTGTGTTCACAATGTTCATGTGTGTTCACAATGTTCCTGTGTGTTCACAATGTTCATGTGTGTTCACAATGTTCATGTGTGTTCACAATGTTCATGTGTGTTCACAATGTTCCTGTGTGTTCACAATGTTCCTGTGTGTTCACAATGTTCATGTGTGTTCACAACGTTCCTGTGTGTTCACAATGTTCCTGTGTGTTCACAATGTTCCTGTGTGTTCACAATGTTCCTGTGTGTTCACAATGTTCCTGTGTGTTCACAATGTTCCTGTGTGTTCACAATGTTCATGTGTGTTCACAATGTTCCTGTGTGTTCACAATGTTCATGTGTGTTCACAATGTTCCTGTGTGTTCACAATGTTCCTGTGTGTTCACAATGTTCCTGTGTGTTCACAATGTTCCTTTGTGTTCACAATGTTCATGTGTGTTCACAATGTTCATGTGTGTTCACAATGTTCATGTGTGTTCACAATGTTCCTGTGTGTTCACAATGTTCCTGTGTGTTCACAATGTTCATGTGTGTTCACAATGTTCATTGTGTGTTCACAATGTTCATGTGTGTTCACAATGTTCCTGTGTGTTCACAATGTTCCTGTGTGTTCACAATGTTCCTGTGTGTTCACAATGTTCCTGTGTGTTCACAATGTTCATGTGTGTTCACAATGTTCCTGTGTGTTCACAATGTTCATGTGTGTTCACAATGTTCCTGTGTGTTCACAATGTTCATGTGTGTTCACAATGTTCCTGTGTGTTCACAATGTTCATGTGTGTTCACAATGTTCATGTGTGTTCACAATGTTCATGTGTGTTCACAATGTTCCTGTGTGTTCACAATGTTCCTGTGTGTTCACAATGTTCCTGTGTGTTCACAATGTTCCTGTGTGTTCACAATGTTCCTGTGTGTTCACAATGTTCCTGTGTGTTCACAATGTTCATGTGTGTTCACAATGTTCCTGTGTGTTCACAATGTTCCTGTGTGTTCACAATGTTCATGTGTGTTCACAATGTTCAAGTGTGTTCACAATGTTCATGTGTGTTCACAATGTTCCTGTGTGTTCACAATGTTACTGTGTGTTCACAATGTTCCTGTGTGTTCACAATGTTCCTGTGTGTTCACAATGTTCCTGTGTGTTCACAATGTTCCTGTGTGTTCAAAATGTTCCTGAGTGTTCACAATGTTCCTGTGTGCTCACAATGTTCCTGTGTGTTCACAATGTTC